AGATGTGTATGTGTATGTAGGAAAATAAAAAAGAATATGAAAATTACCGGATAAACCGGTCACTAGTTCAATTAAACAACCGGTCACCAGTTCAATTAAAAAACCGGTTTTTAAAACATTGTTTTGATCGGTCTTGGATTAAGTCCAACAAAAACAATTTCTATAAAACAATTGGTTCTTAAAAACGGGGATCATTTAAACAAATGTACACTTATGTAAATACAATTTATTAGCGCATATTATATCAATAATACCAATTCGTAAACATTTTTTTACTAAACTTCCATATTTAGATATTAAAAAAAAAAAAAAAAAAAAAAAAAAAAAAAAAAAACCTTGAACGTAATTAAAATTATAAAATTACAACAAACAATATCACAGTTTATTGATTAAAGATTTGTAAAAATACATCAACCAACCAAAACATTTATGTTAAATAATTACCAAAATTCTACAGCCATCAAAGATAGTTCTTACTCATGTATCTTTTTTACTAAGTTCTTGTTGTTAATTCTTATCCTCACATACAAAGAAAATATAAATATATTTTTGACATGTCACACTTTTATTCATTTTGTCACATATCATTTAATGAATGTCACACTACCTTCCAATCTATTTTTCATCTAAATAAAATCTAAGGTTCATTACATATTTCTTCGCAACAAATTAGGTGTTGGTTGGTTCGTAAATGTTTGTGAAGGAATTACAATTGAAATTGAAAAAGGAATTTGTCAGGAATTTGAATCTAATATCATATGTTGTTTAGTTGGCAGAAAAAGAAATTGGAATCAATTCTAGATTTTGTTTGGTTCGCAACAAATTGAAATAGAATCCATGTAAAATGACTAAATTATCATTTTGTCTGTTTTACTTAATTTTACCTTGTTTTCTAACTTATATGTAAAGATACATTATATAAATTATAAAAATAGTAAAAATTTGGTGGCGGTGGTGGTGATGGTAGTGGTTGGCGATGATGGTGGCGACGGTGGTGGTGGTGGTGACAGTGGCGATGATGGTAGCGGTGGTGGTGGTGGCGGCGGCGGCGACAGTGGCGTTGGTGGCGGGTGATAATAGTGGTGGTGATGGTGGTGGCGGTGGCGGTGGTGGTGGTGGCGACGGTAGCGGTGGTGGTAGTGGTGGTGGGTGATAGTTGTAGTGACGGCGGTGGTAGTGGTAGTGGTGGTGGTGGTGGCAGCGGCGGTGGGTGGTGGCGGTAGCAATGGTGGCGATGGTGGTGATAGCGGCAATAGCGATGATAGTAGTGGTGATGGGTAATGTTAGTGGTAGTAGCGGCGATGGTTGTGATGGGTGGTAGCAGCAGTGGTGGTGGGAGATGGTGATGGTGGTTTTAGCAACGACGTTGATGGTGATCGTGGTGACATTAGTCATAGTTGCGGTGGTTGTGGCGGTGGCGGTGGTGAATGGTGGTAGCTAATGGTGGTGGTGGTGGTGGCAAATTAACGTATGTGTAGGGTTTAAACTGATGAAGTGTTTAGTAAGGGCAAATTGGTAATCTTCGACTTTCCATCTTACAAAGGAATTAATTCCTTCAACAATTTGATAGAAACAACTTTCTTTCTTTTGAAGGAAATTTTTTCATTTAGGAATTATTTTCCCCCTTCTAAAGTTGAACCAAACACATGAATTTGAGAGAATTGGAATCATTATCCCCCAAATTTCATTACTTTCCTACCAACCAAATAATGTATATTAGATAATTACTTTCCTACCAACCAAATAATGTATATTAGATAATTACTTTCCTATGTATATTAGATCAAAACTGAATGGGACAAGAACATAGGAGGATTAAAAACTTCAAAGATTTACTATATGTGGCTATGAACAATAGAGGAAGATCATGGGAATTTTTTTATGGGGCAATTTTCTGTGTTTTCCTATCTTATTCAATGCAACTGGAAGCAAAAAAATAGCAAATATCATTCTAAAAACATTGAGACTTCTACCCACTAAATCAACTACAGCCAACATGGCTTTTACCAAATCAAACATACGAGAAATAGACTAAATGTCATTTAAAGAAATGCATGCGACTTTGATCCAATATTTAAAAACTAGTTTGAACCGGATGGTCGAATCGGTTGGACCGAGAACCGAAGAGGGAAGATGTTCAACTAACATTGGTCTTATGTCTATTTTTGAACCGGAATGAACCGGTCGGTTTTTACAAAAACCGGTTGAATCGGTTAAACTCGTTAAATTAAATAAAAACACATGGAAATGAATAATTTTCATAACAAATTTAAGTTTTTTTTCCACATCTATTTAAATTTCTTTGAATAAAAACACATGGTATAAAGTCTTTTAATGTGTTTGTATTCATCTAAAACTATATTTTGTTTTTGTATTATATTTTATTTTATTTTTGACATATGTGGATTGATATAAAACTTACAGTTATATATTTTTAATATATTTGGATTGATCTTCAATTTGTATTTTTAATGTTTAAACTTTTAGATGTCTATGTATGTGTAGGAAAATAAAAAAGAATATGAAAATTACCGGATAAACCGGTCACTATAACAGTTCAAATAAAAAACCGGTTTTTAAAACATTGTTTTGATCAATCTTGGATTAAGTCCAACAAAAACAACTTCTATAAAACAATTGGTTCTTAAAAACGGGAATCATTTTAACAAATGTACACTTATGTAAATACAATTTATTAGCGCATATTCATATTCTAATAAATGAATAGTTTTAATTTCTTTTTATCAAGTGTCACTCTAATACAACTCTTTATTAATATTATGTCATGTGTCATCTAGATAGATATATATTAGTCAACTCATTTCAAAATTCAAATTTACATTTTCTAATTATATGTTAAATTTGAAATTATAATAACTTTAAAATTTTGATATACCTTTTAATTAATAATTTATTTAAATTAATTGATTAATAATTATAAATTTTTTTGGGGGCAATTACTAATCTAGCCAAATTAAGGAAGTAATTAGTAAATGTCCAAATATAGCCCATGAAACCGTAGGTTTCTATATTCATCTACTGTTTCGCCAATTCGTCTACAGTTTCGTATTTTGTATAAAAAAAATTCATTTCTAAGATACAAAACTGTAGGTTTTTTAAAACCTACGGTTTCCTCTCGGTTTTGCTACGGTTTCCCAAACCGTAGCCTACGGTTTTTTTTTTAAAGTCTACTGTTTTGGGGTTTAATCTACTGTTTTGTCAAAAAAGCTACGGTTTTTTTTTTTTTTGTGATATAGAGTATTAAAATATACAAATGTTTATTTATTGGTTATAAATTTTAAAAACAAAAAAACGGAAAAAAAAAAAAAAAAAAAAAAAAAAAAAAAAAACCTACGGTGTACAACCTTTTACTGCACAAACTATGCATTAAATGCTTGTACACCGTAGGTTTCAAAAAAACCTACGGTTACGCTATTTTTTTTTAGTTTAAAAAAATCATGAAATTATACTATATATCAAATTCCGATCATGTTGGATCAAATTTAAAAAAAATACGAAAAAAAAAATTACTTTCGGTTCGACAAAACCGTGGGTGTACAAGTCGACAATGCACAAACTGTGCATTGGGCACTTGTACACCGTAGGTTTCGTATGAAACCTACGGTTTTATTTTATTTTTTTCGATTTTTTTCAAATAAAAACTTAACCCCATATACAAAACCTACTTCTAATCACGAACACGGTAAAATTTTGATGAAAAATAGACAAACCTGGTTGTTTTCGTGTGCTCCATTGAGAGAAAACAGTAGGCAAACCAAAAAAACAATAGTGAAAAATGACCTAATCTGAAAAATTTATCATTATATAATTTGGGCTAACTGGCCACGAAAAAGTAAACGGGCTGTGAAAACAGTACTCCATTACCACGAAATAGTAGATTTCAAGAAAAATAGTAGTCAACGCACGTTGACCGCAATCAACTGTATGTTGACTATTATTTGGTGGGCTATTTTTGGCTAAGACTCATTTTTTGGCTATTTTTTTATAAGTCATTAACAATTATGGCTAGATTAGTAATTTTCCCATTTTTTTTTTATAAAAGTTTAATTAATTTTATGATCCGTTGTGCCCACGGATTATAAACTAGTTATATCAATAATACCAATTAGTAAACATTTTTTACTAAACTTCCATATTTAGATTAAAAAAATCGAATGAAATTAAAATCATAAAATTACAACAAACAAAAACACAGTTTATTGAATAAAGAATTGTAAAAATACTACAACCAAGCAAAACATTTCTGTTAAATAAATAATTACCAAAATTCTACAGCCATCAAAGATAGTTCTTACTCATGTATCTTTTTTACTTAAGTTTTTGTTGTTAATTCTTATCCTCACATACAAAGAAAATATTTCTACTCTAAGATATAAATATACTCTTGTCACATGTCACACTTTCATTTATTTTGTCACATATCATTTAATGATTATTTTAAAATAATTTTTTTTCACATATTATTTTATGGTTTTTTCCATTTTATTAAATTCAACATAATATTTAAATGTAATATTATAAATTGATATCAATTTCATTAAATGACTTACCTTCTAATTTCTAAATTGAATCCTCATTAGTTTTTTTTTAATTATCTAAATTATTTGTTTAAATTTTTAAAAAAAAAACACTTCAATTTCAATAATTCAATATTTTTCTTATAAGCTCAAACTTTTTAAATATTTAGATATTCATATTTTTTTTAAATAAACTCATATAATACATAAGTCTCCCATAATAACTAACACCTAGAACCATTCTCAATAAAATTGCCCCAATCCCAAGCATACTCATAACACAAAAAAAAATCCATAAAACTTGACCAAATAATGATTGCATCAATATATATTCCAAGTTAAGTAAACAAAGCTATATCCAGATCAAGCTTATTGTAAGCAACAAGATGATCAATGTCACTAAAGATTAATCTCTTGAGACACAACAGCTTGTACTAAATAATATTGAATCAAAAGACCATTTAATTAAAGTAAGTACTATACGTGTGCCATGTCATCAAACTATCAGCTTCCTTGTTAAACTGGCCAACACTGTCATGTCAATATCATCTGAGATGTAATATGTTGATGAAAAAAAAAACTATTCAACAAACGAAATGTTCTCATCTAATCCTCTTGTACTTTACGACTTTTCACTGCATAACAAATTTTTAACTGATTAGCAACTCCATGGTAATTCAACTGTGAATTACAGCAAACAAAAATAAATACATACCAGGACTAAATACTTTGATACATTGTTTTATAGATTTCACTGATGTCACTGAATTAGCCCCTGCATCAATCAAGAAATCTCTTATATATGGAAAAGACATAAATAGCCCTATACAATTTGTCCATTACAGTCCAGTCGAGTAGATTACCTGGCAAATTCATGTCTTGCTCGGACATGATTTGGGTCAATGTAGAAGACATTCCTGACACAAGTTCATGGTCACCTGTCATGCCATCAACCATTGTATCCGGTGATCTGAAAATTTCCATTCAAAATCAGAGAAAAAGTTAATAAAGTTGAAATTTTCGAAAAGGGTCAAAGTTGATGATATAAGTTTTGAGAGTTATACCCTGAATGAGACTCCGGTGAGGATCCAGACCCGTTATCCGGTTGACACAAGTAATCGAAATCACCCAACAATTCGGTCAAATTAAAGTCAACTCCTAAACAATCTAAATTCGGCAAATCAAAATCAAAAGCGTCGTCTTCCGAAGGCGATCCTGTGTTCTCATCGGAAGTTAACATCCCGGAGTTCATTTCGGATATCTCTGATCCATCAAAATCCAACCTTCCTTTAACATGATCGCGTGTGCCGAATCTTTTTGAACTTGATTTCATTGGTGATGAAATGCAATGATTCCTCTCGATTGAATAGTAAGAAACCTGCTTTGAAGGGCTTACTTGGATTGTCTCGGAAGTGATAACAGTTCGATTGCTGGATGTGAATTTTTGAGGTGTTAGGGTTTTTCTGGTGCTTGAGAGTGGAGTCTGATTATTGGGTGGAGAGATGGATTTGTCGATTGGTGAAGGGGAGGGTGTTTGAGGACCAGGAGATTGACTCGTTGGGTTGAATAGACATTTGGCAACGCTAGAACCCTGAGCAGGTGAAGGTCTAGTCGGTGGGGAAACATGAGAAATCGATGGAACCGGAGTAATTTGTAACGATTGTTCTTGATTATTAGGTGATGCGATCGGTTGCAAAATTGATTTAGTAGTACCTGAAGAATAATACATTGATTATCAAATTTTGATTATCACAAACATAGGGAACCTGAAAGGATCGATATAGATTATAGATTGATTTACCTGATGAATTGAGCTGACCGCGTTTTCGCTTTGAAGCTACCGGAGCACCACATACGTCTCTCGAATTCGTCCTTCTCTTTAAACTTGGTTGGCTTGTTGATGGTGTTGAGAAATTTGTGGGTTCAGATAAGGAGTTTGGAAGTCGGGATGTTGACATCATGACTGGGGTGTTGTAAACCGGAAAATTTGCTGAAAAAATACAATAAATTACATTTAATTTGTTATTCCAAATCCATTTGATCCACAACTATCAGAAAATAATCTATTTATCACTAATTAACATCTCATGATCTGCAACCATTGCAAGTTTAGGAAGATTACACCAATATGAGGTCGTATCTTAGCAATTTTCTATTCGATGTTATGAATATAAAAACTTGTTACATTGTGTTGCTAATATTTCAACAGCGTCATTGGTGTGAGATCTAATTAGGTTAAGATGGATTAGGGATATTTACCTGCAGGAGAGGCCATAGAAGTCCCCGCCGGCAAAGTGGGCATAACTGCCGGAGGCGGCAGAGGAGGTGCAGCAGAAGCAGAAGCTCCACCGCCATTATAAACATTCATAACATCCTGCATTCCTCGCAACAACGTTTGCACCCGGAACTTCTCCTGTTCAAATCGACTCTTTTCATGACTTAAAATCACCTTCTCTTCTTTTAAACTTATATACTCCTCCAACATATCCCCTAAACTCATCAAACTCTTCGGCGCCTACACAAAATTGTCGATCTCAAAATTCAAACCAATAAAACGAAAACTAAAACGGAAATCAAAAATTACAAAAAAGAGAAGATGAAAAGGGTGAAATTTGTACATCGTTAACTGGTGATTTCGCGAGAAGATGTGGAGCCTCAGATCGAAAAGTGGATCGAGTTCGAACGAGGTTGTTATCAGAGAGATATCTATCGACGATGAACGCAACTTGAATTGGGGTTATCTTTCCTTTGCCGATTGCAGTCTCTGACCTTTTGGATCTCGTTTGCTTCCCCATTTCGCTGTTGATCGTTCAACTGGAAATGAAGAGATTTGAGATGGGATCTATTGAATGGGGGAATTGGGAAGCATATAGATGAAGGGGGCGGGAGTGTTTAAAATTTTCGGAGCGCGTATTGTTTTTAGCGGGCGTTTTTCTTTTATCAAACGGGAGGGAGGGAGGGAAGTTGCAGTGAAAATATTTGTTAAAGAGTGATTTACGCAGTTAGTACTTGAACTATTTAATTATTTACAATAATGGTCCCCGGTGTAAACATTTTTCATATTTGCTAAGAGTAAGGGTATTTTGCATATTTGGTAAAAGTAATAATGTTTTACATATTCGGCACTAATTAACTAACCGTTGGAGTTTTAAATGTATAAAACATAAATTTTAGGAAGTAACAATTAATGAAAATAACCGTTGTATTTTGATTTTAATGCTTTTGAATTCTTGTTCTTGACAATTTACGGTTAAATTTAATCTATTTATAATAATAGTTTTACCTTTTTTTTCATATAAATCTAATATCATTTAAGTGTTACAAATAACAAATAACATATTTGAATTACTTACCGAGTAAATTACACGAATCATCATTCGATTAGTATCAAAAAGCATTTTAGTCTTTATTTTCAAAAATTAACTTGGACCGTCCTATGTTTCAATTTCATTGCACGGTTAGTCCCTATCGTCGTTGGTCGTTAGTGTTTCCGTTTAAGTGCCCCAAAAGCTCCTTTAGTCCCTCGTTTTTTTTTAAATTTATCATTTTAGTCCCTCGTTTCATTTTAAAAGACTATATTGTCATTTTTTATTTTATTTTTTCACTTATTTATAAATTATCAATTAAATTAGATTAATTATAGATATTAAAAACGTATATCATCTATCTCTCTCGTTTTCTCTTTATTCCATGTCCTCTTTCTCAATTCGGGCAACTATCTTCTATCATCGTCAACAACAATCTCCTTTCACTATCAGCACCTTCACCAACCACCGCCCGTCAACACCAAATTTGATACTATAACCAAAATCCAAAACTCAAACCCAAATCTGCATAATCTATAACCTATAATTAACACCAAATCCTAATCTAAAACCTTTAGTCAACACTGATTTTCAAGATGAAGTCCCAAAACCTAAAATCAATCATGAAATCCCTACATCGATGCAAAATCCAAAGGGACTTAGATGTAGAATCGAAACCCTAGATTTGTATCCTATCTTCTTTCTCAGCTCTTGCAACCACCGCTTATCACCACCGGAGAAAATAGAAGAGTTGTCGAAATTTAGATTGCGAATGGAGTATAGATCTGAAATCTAGATGTAAAAGGCTTGTTGATGGCATGCCCTAAATTACATCTTTAAACAGAGAAGACAATAGAGGACGACAACGAAGGGAGTTGGTTGTCGGTAATGATACGAGGTGGTTTCCCTAATTGAGAAAGAGGGTAGGGAATATATATATATATATATATATATATGAAAATGATATAAGTTCTTAAAATTTATAATTAATCTAATTTAGGGTACGCCAACAACAACTCCCTTCGTTGTCGTCCTCTCTTGTCTTCTCTGTTTCAATATGTGATTTAAGGCATGCCATCAACAACCCTTTTACATCTAGATTTCATATCTATATTCCTTTCGCAGATCTAAATTTCGACAACTCTTCTCTCTTCTCCGATGGTGATAAGCGGTGGTTGCAAAAGCTGAGAAAAAGATAGGACACACATCTAGGGTTTCGATTCTACATCTCGGTCCCTCTGGATTTTGCATCGATGTAGGGATTTCATGACTGATTCTAGGTTTTGGGACTTCATCTCGAAAATCAATGTTGATTAGAGGTTTTAGATTAGGATTTGGTGTTAATTATAGGTTCTAGACTCTGGTTCTAGTATTAAATTTGGGTTTGAATTTTAGATTTTGGTTATAGTATCAAATTTGGTGTTGACATGTGGTGGTTGGTGAGGTGCCTACGGTGAAAGGAGATGGTTGTCGATGATGATAAGAGATAGTTGCCCAAATTGAGAAAGATGGCAGGGAATAAAGAGAAAATGAGAGGGAGAGAGAGAGAGAGAGATAGAGAGAGAAATGAAAATGATATAAGTTTTTAAAATTTATAATTAATTTAATTTAATTGATAAGTTATAAATAAGTGAAAAAAATGGCAATATAGTCTTTGAAAAAGAAATAAGGGACTAAAATGATATATTTAAAAGAAACGATGGACTAAACATGTTTTTCGGGCTCTTAAACGGATACCACTAACGGCTAACGACAATAGGGACTAACCGTGCAAGGAAATGGAAACACATGGACGGTACGAGTTAATTTTTAAAAATAAGGACTAAACGTGTTTTTTTGGTACCTAACCGAGGGACGATTCGTGTAATTTACTCTTACTTGTTTTATACAAGTTTTAAATCGATCAAACTTTGATCTTAAGAAACAACCTCTCAAATAGTATATTTAAATTTCAATATCGGGTTAGGGGGTTAGGGGTGTTGGATATCATATATATTCATATTTTAATATAGTTTTATATATGAAATCATTTATTTTTATAACAATATACATCCTTATTTTTCGGTTTTTATAGTAAAGTATTTTTTTTATTTCATATCATTTTCAACCATTATAGTTAACCGATATTGACCACTAACCATAACCATTAACCAACTAAAACTAATAATAGCCGATACCTAATGACTAACGAAATACATTAACATTTATAACGATTATAGTTCGGTTTTGGTCAATAGAACCACACGGTCGCATACACACATTTTTTTGTCTACATTTATTTAGTAAATCAAATTTCAAGAGCGATAGATATTAAGTTTTAACAAATCCCCTTTGTCGTTCATGGAAGAGTAAATCCATAATGTTCCTCAAAGGAGAACCCAAACAGGATGAACCGATAGATTCTTCTCTCATGGCATGTCAACGGACCAAACCAAACGGGACGGGGTTTGCATCCCCCGCACCCACGAAATTCTCTCGTTCCCCCACCCTTGAATGGATGATGCAGACACTCGAAAATAACTTTCATGATGTTGGGTTTGAGTTAGAGTAAATTACACGAATCGTCCATCATGCAGGTGTCAAAAGGCACGTCTGGTCCCTATATTCAAAAATTAACTCCGACCATCCCTCGTTTGGTTTAAACTTGCACGCTTCATCCCTCCTTAGTTTTAATATACAAAATTCATCCTTTACCATACATAAAAAGACTATATTACCCTTACTAGTTCATTTTGTATTTATAAAAAAGGGAAAATAAATTCTAACCCTTACTTTCATATTTATTTATATCTTTTAAACAATTAAACATATAAACTCTACCCAACCCCACCCATTTACCAGGAACTCGTAGAACTACCCTAACTCATCCCTTCTCGTTTCTCCAGCTTCTCACATCTTCCTTGATGTCAAAATATGGCCATCGGAAGTCTTTGCCTCCAATCCACCATCGTCCTCCCCGCAAGCCACTGACTTCTTCTACAGGTTTCAGGCGAGGGTTTCTCTCACAATAACGATGGTTATTTGCGCCGCTGAACTTCACCATCACCACATTTGAACCTGGTGTCGATGGCTAGTCCTTATGGTGAACCTTCGCTCTTCATCCATCACCGTCTCCAGCCCACTCTCTCACATTCTCCCTCACAAATCTGCTCAGTTTATACATAATCGTCGCTCGATTTGCGGTTCGATTTTCAGATTTATGGTTTTTCAGGTTTCAAGTTTCTTCTTTTCAGATTTGATTTGGTTTGGTTTAGTGTTGATTATAGGCAACTTTCGGAAGTAGAGCATGGTCGTTTTCATGGAGGGCAGAAGGAAAAGGGGAAAAATAAGGGGGAGAAGTGGGTTGGGTGTGGTGAGTGAGGGTTTGATGGCATCGTCGGAGGTGCGTTAGAGTGGCCGGAGTTGTATTGGTGTCATCGGAGTATTGGGGTTGGCCGATGTGGGTGGTAACGGTAGATCGGAGATGTACCGAAGAAAAAAGAGGGGGGGGGGGGAAGACGAGTTATTACTTAGGGTTTGGGCCCATTTATCTCTAAATATTATTAAAAAGGAACCATTAATTCACCAATGAAGCAATCAGTGCTATTGATTGTATTTCAATCCTATGTTTTTCACCCTTAGATCAAATTGCTGACATCATCTTCAAAAAAAAAAAAAATTCAAACACAATTACATTTAATTATAGAATCTTTAATAATTATAGAATCTTTAAATTCAGTAATTATGTTATCTATTGAAGCATATCATTCTATTTATATACGAGATATCAGTTTCTCTAATTAATATTGTTCATAATTTAACATCCTTATTTATAGCTTTTGGTTTAAAATTCAAATCCGTTTAAATCTTTTTTTTTTAAACTCATTAAATAAGCATATCAATAATTTAGTTATTAACCTATAAAATCTAATCAGATCCCATTAAATCAACAAAATATTTTAGTGTCAAAATTAAAGTCAATATTATTCATAATTTATATCCCAATATATATCCCACATAAAATGAATCAATTTGAGATATTGGTTTGAATTTTAAAACTCATTAAATAAGCAAGTCGATTAATTTAAAATTTTGAATCGGTATAACTGATATCTTCCTTTTTTCCAAATGAATAGTCGAAAATCTCCAAGATTATATCTTAGGATCCCAATTTTTATGGAAGATAATGATTTTTTTATCCAAAAACACCATATATATACAATTACATTGAAGTTGTTATTCTTAAGATTTTAGATTGTGTCCTACGATTTACAGTGTTTTCTTCAGCGATCTTCTTCTCCAATTCCTTTTACCAGGTTCTTTCTTTACTTTGTTCTCCTTCTTCTCCAATTTTTTGCATTTACTTTGTTCTTATTACCTGTTATTACTGTATTCCTGTTGAGAGGTCATAAAAAAATTAATCAATCTACTTTAAGCATATTAGTTTCATTCATTTAGTTACAAAAACAAAATTATATCCTTTATATCGATTTTTTGATGTGTTCACCTATGTTTGTTTACGAGTCTGTGTATAATCAACGTTATATCCTCT